GGGGTAGGAAATGGGGACACAGACAGACAAAATACACTTGAAAGTAAGAGAAAGGAAGCTGGGCCAAAAAGGGAAACATTCCGACCAGCCTTACCAAGAAGGCAGGAGGGGATTTCACAGTTTCGAGCAACGGGGAGCCTGCCCTCAAATTTAAGAGACTGGCCACTGCCCTAGGGGCATTTAACTGGTGGTTTTGTCACTGGCTTTGAGAGAAAGGAGGCAAATATAGAAACCAAAAGTGAAAGGGAGGAAGAAGCACAAAAGGTGGTGTTTAGGAACCAGGTATCAGTGTGCTTGGTGGGGGACCTCCCAGGTTCGTTAGGCCACAGCCGTATGCCCACACGGTGTCTCTGGTTGTGGGACACCCTGTCGGGAGGGTGTCCGTGGTTCCATCTCCTGGATGGTCAGTCCTTATGTGGAGACGCCAGGTGAACCAATTTTCAGGATATGTGCCCTGTGGACAGACAAACATGGACAAATGAGAAGAGGAAATGGGCCTCGGTCACTCACCAGACCTAAGGCAAAGAACAAATAACAGAAAGGGGCCTACTTACCGAGAAAACAGCCAAAGGGGACACCAAGAAGTGTGTCAATCGAGAGGAGTGAGAAAGGTCAGGGGCGGGTGCAGTCAGCGCAGCAGATTGTAAAAATGACGATCCAGAAGAGAAAAACGAAAATGGTGTAGATGGCCAAGATCAACGCTGGGTCCATCTACCACGTTGGGTACCAGATGTTGCAGCCAAGGTCCCTTTGACCTCCTCCCCACGGAGGCAGGGGTTAAGTAGGTGCGAAGTCAACAACACAGAATCCGGGACACTCACTAGGCAATGTACAAGTGAGCTCATTTATTGTGAACACAGGCATCTCCTTTATACCCCCTTCCCTCCTCCTGTTGAACACCCCCAAGCCCACCAGGCTTGGGTCTTCAACAAGAGTCAAGACAAAGGTTTTGATTTTACTATAAAAAGTTTAATTCTTAGCAGTCAGGTGAGCAATCACAGAATGGCTTTTTGTTGTGAGGAACACAGATCTTATATAGGAATCAGATTTTGGGTAACCAAGGAATCACCAAGGATATTTTACTAACAGAAAGTAACTAAGGACACAGCACATAGCTGCATTACATCACCAACTCTGGTGCCCGAAGACAGAAGCGAAACTAAGTTTCTAGAAGACCTAATTAATCATGGAGGCACAGCCTGCCGGCTCAGACCACTGAAGCAGAGAGCTCAGAAGCTCTTAAAGTGGCACACTTCTTTTTTCCTATGCTTATGTCAAGCATGGCTCCCGACAAAAGCCGCTCTGAGTTCATGTGTCCAACTACCCTGTTGTGTCTTGAGAACAGTGTCATTATAGTCATCCACTACCTCTGGCTCTTACAGTCTTTCTGTCTCCTCTTCTGCAATGATCCTTGGGCCTTGGAAAAAGGGAGTGTGATACAGCTGTCCCACTTAGGACCGACACTCCACAGTCTCTTATTCTCTGCACACTGAGCAGTTGTGGGTCTGTGCTAAGGTTTCCCATTCTTTTTTTTTAATATTTTATTTATTTTTATTTTATGTGTATGAATGTATTGCATACACGTATATAATAAGTGCACCTGTGTGTACAGGTGCCAGCAGAGGTCAGAAAAGGGTGTCGGATCCCCTGGAACTTGAGTTGTGGATGGTTGTTAGTCACCATGTGGGTGCTGGGAACTGAACCCAGGTCCTCTGGAAGAGTAGCCAGTGCTCTTAACTGCAGAGTCATCTCTCCAGTTCCCTATTTTTTCATTAATTTTTTAATCGTATGTGTGTGTGTGTGTGGTGTCTGAATGAGGGCACGTGTATGCCATAGTGCTTGTGTGGAGGTCAGAGGACAACTTATGGGAGTCAGCTCTCTGTTGAGGTAGGGTTTCTCTTGCTGTTTCTGACACTGAGCTGCATATTCCAGGTGAGCAGGCAATTCTATCTTTATGTATCCTCTCACTGTAGAAGTGCTGGGATTACAGATGCACACCACAACATCTGGCTCTTTATGTGGGTTCTGAGAACTGGACTCAGGTTGTCAGGCTTGTGTAGCAAGTGTTTTTACTTGCTGAGCCACCTCCTGGTCCTTTTATCCTTTTGCTTTTTTTTTTTTTTGCTTTTTTTTCTTTTTTGGTCTTTTTGAGACAGGGTCTCCCTGTAGCCCCAGCTGTCCTGGAACTCACTAAGTAGACCAGGCTGGCCTTGAATTCACAAATATCTACCTGCCTCTGCTTCCCAAGTGCTGGGACTAAAGGCGTGTGCCACCATGCCCATTTTTGCTTTGTTTTTTAATGAAAATTAATAGCATTACTGAGCTATGCGTTTAGAGTAATACATAAAAGGAGGGGCAGGTTCTTGTTTGGGCCATCTTGGCACATACAATTACAGACAATAAGCACATTTTATGGTTATGGAATATGGCTTTACAGCACCAAAAATTAATTCATTCTATATTAGTATCCTTTATTGGTATTATGTGTAACCATCTGAACTGAAAACATTATTTCTTGGGTGGTGGTTTCCAAAATATATGGCTCATGAAACCTTTCAAATGAAGCAAATAGTACTACAGAAGACTATGTTTGTTTGATTTTTTTTTTTTTAATCTCTAGGGGTTGAGGGTTGGATCACCAGATACATTAAAAGAAACTCATGCCTTAGATACTAGATAGTTGCCATTGGTTGGAGGGTGGGAAGAATTAAATGTTACTGTTTAAAGGGTACAGGATTTTAGTTTATTAGAACACACAAAGTTAATCATTTAAAATAATTTAGGGGGCTAGAGAGATGACTCAGCAATTAAGAGCATTAGCTGCTCTTCCAGAGGACCTGGATTATGTTCCCAGCACCCACATGGTAGCTGACAACTGTCCTTAACTCCAGTTCCAGAGGATCTGACACCTCTGTAGGTACTGCATGACACGGATACACTTACATACATACATGCAGGCAAAACACTCATATATATATAATAAAAATAAAAATTTGAACTATAGTGGGGCTGGAGAGAAAGCTCAGCGGTTAAGAGCACTGAATGCTCTTGCAGAGGACCTGGGTTCGAGTCCCAGCACCCACATGGCAGCTACAAGCCATCCTTAACTCCAGTTCCAGGGGAATCCGAAGCCCTCTTCTGACCTCCGTGGCACTGCACAACACGGGTGCACTCACATATATGCAGGCAATACACTCATACCATTAAAAAAAAAAAAAGCCTGGTGTGATAGCGCATGCCTTTAATCCTAGCACTTGGGAGGCAGAGGCAGGTGGATCTCTGTGAGTTCAAGGCCAACCTGGTCTACATAGTGAGTTCCAGGAGAGCTGGGACTACAGGGAGACCCTGTCTCAAAAAGACCAAAAAATTACACATTCTGCAGAAATGACTAAGGCTGACTAATTTATACATTATAATGTCACAAAACACTTCAAAATAATATTTAATAATTTCAGTGAAAGTAGTGTGTTTTTCTGTGCACAATTTGTCTGATGTGTACCCATTTTTAATCAATGAAAACTGAAGACCGGAATATATAATTCAGGGAAACTCAGATTAAAAACAAAAAACTTTAAATCCGGTCCTCTGGTCCATATATTGCCTGCGATATAAATACACACATCACACTACAAACATCACTGTCCCCATCTCCTTTGCCTCCTACTTACCTTTCAATGGCTTCAGTCTGCAGTTAGAATAAAGGTCAACCTTATTTCTATGTCTTCCTAGGTCTTGTAAAATTGAGCCCTCAACTCCCTCTCCAAGCTTCTGAAAGACTTCTACTGGCAAAATGGATTTCCCAGAAGCATGGACTCCACTAGGTTCTAATAGCCAAGCTCTGCCCTACTGGCAGGCTCTCTGCACAATCTGCAGTACAGAATTCCCCAGAGCCTTTTTCCCATGACTGGCTTCTTTTTGTTCTTCAGATGGGCCTACCTTTGACCACTCTGGTTTCGGTTATTTGCTATCCCAGAATTCTTCTCATAGATTTTAGTCTCCAAATGTGAAGTATTTGTTTATTGTTGCGCTTCTCCCACTAGGCTGCAACTCCCTGAAGGCAGACCTTTCCTGGTTCCAGACCACTGTATCCCCTCTACTGGGGTTTCCAACAATGTTGACCGAATGGATGAACTTCTAAGAGGTAGTAAAAAATAAAACTGTAATCTCGGTTAGTAAAAGGGATGAAGTTTTGTACACGTTGACTTGAACCTAGAGGAATTTTTAAGGTCCTATTTTTTCCATCATTGGTCCTTGGAATAACAGCTAACATTGTTCAGTACTTTTAGGCACTATGTACCCTTCACAAACACTATAGTATTTAACGCTCAGAGTAACCCTGTCGGGGTAATCAACCTTTATTATCCTCATTTTTCAGAGGCAGCCTGCCAATAGCCATTAACGGTGGAGATCCATAGCCTGGTTTAAGTAGGCCATATCCAATTAATCAAAGTAATGGACACCCCTTTCAGTCAACAATTGGTGTTTTACCAACGTGCCTTTCAGAGAACCCCTCTGAATTCCCGGTTTGCCCTGACCGTCTATCTCGTGACTGAAAGCTACCGGTGGTTGCTAACCGCTCAGGGGGGTTTCCTGCAGAATCGGAGTGCCATGGGTGGGTGAACCACAGCTCCGACCGCCACACCAAGCTCCAGCTAGGCAACTCTCCAGGCAGTGCTGAGGAGGAAGTTAAAAGCAGGTTCGGGGGCCCGAGCTGGATCCTTGTGCCTCGGGGCGGCGAAAGGGGAAGGTACAGTACGTCTCGCCCACGTTCGCCCGGGACTCAGGATCTCCCAACCCAAAGGGGAACCACGACGCGTTTCCCCAACTACACCGCACGTCACGAGCCATCCCAGCTTGGCCCGGCCCACCATCCCCGCCCACTTGAGCGACGGTGTTAGGACTGCTAGACCTCCCACCCCTAGCTCGGCCCTCTCCTGCCTCCTGTGCCAGACTCGGTCTTTGATTGGTCCTCGGGACCACAGCTCCCACCCTCTCTGCCTTGTCCGTCACTCCCAAGATGGCGTCCGCTTCGGCGGCTTCGGTGGCTGCAGCCGAGGAAAGAGGCGGAGGCAGCGGCAGCCGCGCGGGGAGGGGGGAGTCCCGTCTGACTGAGACGGCAGGGCGGAGCGCCGGGCGGGGAGACGAGCTAAGCTGGCTGTGAGCACCGCAGCATTCAGCCCCCTCGTGTCCCGCTTGCCGCGCGTAAGGGGATCGCGCGCTGCGCCTCACGCTCTCCCGGCGCCCGCGTGGGGCCAGCTTGGGGGTGAGTGGCCGGGGCCGCGTCGCGGGCGGCGGTGGCGCGGGGAGCTGTCACGGCCCTGAGGAGGTGACAGGCGGGGAGACGCGGGAGCTGGGCGGTGGGACTCCGAGGGCCAGTCGGCGCCGGTTGCTCCACCGAGGGGCTCTGGGGGCCGCCGGGGATGGAAAGCCGCTGCAGAGGGCGGGACGCGCGCGGAGCTGCGGGCGCTCCTTCCAGATTTGCCACTCGCGCCTGGCCTGGGGCTGCTGTTGTTGAGGTGATGGGGCGGGGGCGGGCCGGGGGGAGGTCCGGAGCTGGGATTTTGACAGACCGGTTACGTAAGTCGGAGGTGTCTTCCCGGAATCCCACCTGCTCCGGGTTTCAAACCCGTAGCGGCTCCGCCGAGCCCGGGGCCGCTTTCCCGCTGCTGCTCTGCCCAGATGCCCCAGCCTCCGCCCGGGCTGGGGATCTACGGGAGCCAAGTTGGCCAGCTTTTTTTTTTTTTTAAACCCGTCTCCGCCCCCCACCCCGAGTGTGTGTGTGTGTGTGTGTGTGTGTTTGTGTAAAATTCCTGGTCATCGCTATTCCCTTTGAAGTTTTATCTCTTTCTGGGGAGAAAAGGGGGAAGGGGAGGAGAAAAGAGAGGGGGAAAGCTTGTGACCTAAAATTGGGTCTCAGCTATTGCTTTTCGTTACCGTGCTTTTTAAAATGACAGGACGTGCTGGAAGATTTTGCTGTTGTTGCTCCAGTGTTTTCCATTCAGCACTATGGTTCCGGCCTCAGAGCCTTAGAGAGAGTTTTTTGTTTTGTTTTGTTGTTTTTCCTTATAGGACAGTTATATCTTGTTTGCAAAGCAGGCATCCGTCAACAGGCGTGTATTTATTTGAGGGCAAAACGCGTGCCAGGCAGCCAGAGACTCGGGAGGGCAGGAATTGTGTTACTCAATGAATATGTTATTCTTTAAAATGTATTATACATGAGTGAAAAGGAGAGCCAGAGCATAAAAGAAACAATATTATATGACAACTTTCATTTAGTGTATATAGAGCCTCCTGTTTTCTGCCTACCCCATTCTATCCTTTTTTTCTTGGGGGAAGGATGTTGGAGACACCTGTAAACATCGTAGCCCAGGTTACACTAATATATTGTAATGCATTTGAGATTATTATAAAAAGTAGTCTCTGAGGTACCTAAGATCGATTAATAAGTAAGACTTCTTGAGCAAGTTGTTCAGTTTATGTTTACAGTAGTAGTTCTGGGCTACGGCTTCTGAAAAAAATGAATAGAATTTCTGAGCCATTTGAACCTTAATTGAACTTATAAAAGATTGTATTTGGCTTCTTTTATGGGGACTTTGTTTTGTTTGGGGGAAAAGTAATAAACATTTGGGGCAGCTTTTCTTTTTCCCAGTTTCCTTTGAGCTGCAGCTCTGGGCAGGAGCCTGGAATAACATATAGTTACCATCATCATTCTATAAATGTTACATAATTTTATTTTTCTGAGTGATTAAACACAGACATACTTCACTGTGGAATTTTAAAAGAATGTGTTTGTGAGGGAAGTTAACTGATCTTGACATCAGCCTATTAAATAAGTAAATTTTGACTCGAGTTTTAAGCTTATATGTGCAAATTTACATTTTTGAAGTTTGGTGAAGCAATGTCAGTTTTCTGTTTGTTCAAGAGAGCCAGGAAGCTGATCCTAATTTGTGTTGAACTTTTCCACATGAATTATCATTGGCTTAAATAGTTTTTGATTCTTAAGTTCCTGGAACTGTTGTCTGGCTTCTGGTGACTTGAATAGTGTTTAGTGTAATGGGGAGGCTATAAGAAGGAAGGGAAGAATACATTGTACTAATTCATTGGTAAGTAGTAAAAATTGTAACAGAGAAGAACTTATTAGTTACTTACTGTGTGATGCCAATTACATTACCTTTAGTTGTTTGTAGAATCTAAAGGTCCTGATACTGGGAAAACCTAGTTTTTCATAACCACTGCTGAAGGTGTTATAGTACAAATCCTGTTCTCTTATTCAAAGTGATGGCTCATTATTGTAAGTGGAAAACATAAGTGGCTCCAACAGGAAAATGGACTTGCTATTTTTGCTTTCTGCGATGTCAGAGACTTATCTTTGTGGGATTTTTCTCTTTCCTACTGGAGGAGAAAAGAGAGACTAAAGAAAAGTGAATCAACTTTTCTCCCTTTTTTATTTGCCTGTTTTTTTTAATGCCCTAGATTGGTTATTATTTAGTAGGATTGGTGGGGTGGGGTAGGAGTTCAGCCATACTTTTATTACTGTATACTATTGGTATCATGTTGAATTACAAAAGAGCAGTGCAGAACTTTGTATTTGAGAATCCATTTGCATAGGGAGTTACTGTAACAATGAAAAAAGTTATTTTTTGAGATAGGACCTTTCTATGTAGTTCAACCCGCCCTGGAACCCAGGAGCCTCCTGTCTCAGCCACCTCAGTGCTGGGATTATAGACGTATGCCACCATACTCCATGAGATTATTACTCTTAAAATCACACAGACACAAAGACATTAAAAGGTTATAGGAGAAAATACTGAAAATCTAAATCACCATGACTCCAACAAGGCAAGTGCCTTATTGTCAGCAAAGACAACTCAAAATATGGTATATATTTGCAGCTCACAACAACAGAAACAACCGGTTATTTGGGCGAATTATCAGCACCAACCTTGAAATAGTTGTGCATCCATAGATATTTTGCCTTCATGTGCATTACTTCTCTCCCAACTTTGGGTTCCATTTGTTCCCTGCACCAAATTGTTCTTTGTTGACAGTTCCACCTATTGATGATAAACTTGGCCTTGTCTTCATGACTTCATCAGTTGTTAGGCAATGACATATGAATGTGTAAGAGATGCCACCAATATTTTGCTAGTTACTGAGGAAACAAAGGTGGATGAAATGTGATTTCTGCCCTTAAACTGCCTGAGAACCTTTGTTTTTGTTTTCTTTTCTTGGCCACCAGCACATAATGTGTCCTCTGGTTTTCCTGTTTCTCTGCTAACACTCAGCTTGTGTCTTGGGCCTCGTATATTCTGTAGTTTTCCTAGTGGGAAACTCTTGAGTTCTAGACACCCATTTTTCAAATGCATTTTGGAACGTTTGTTTGCAGGTTGGAGAATTCAGGACTGGATGTGTTAATATGTTCATCTATGATTGTTAGTGTTTTTAAATGCATGCCATGCTCTTGGCTCTTTCTCCTGTTAAATAGTCACAAGTAGAAAATAAGAGAGAGCAACTATCAAGTAAAGAGAAAGATATCATGGAAAGTGTTCCCCTAGGACTGTACTTTATTTTCACTAAAAGTAGTAAGTCATCAAAATGAGTAAGAAGAGTAAGAAGAAAAATTCATTTTCATACTTATGTTAAAGTGAATAAACATATAAATTCCAGTTAAGCTGCTTTTAAGTAAAACCTGAAATATGAAAATGAGAAATGTGTTTAATTTTTGTGGTAACTTGTTTGGTTAGTGCGTGCGTGCATGTGTGTGTGCGTGCACACCCCCCCCCACACACACACTGACACACACGCACTCGAATAGAGGCCAGAGGTCAGCATTGAATGTCTTCCTCAGTCACCTTATCTTTTGAAAGAGTACCTCTCACTGAACCCAGAGCCCACCATTAGGCTAGACTGACTGGCCAGTGAGCTCCTGAGATCCGCCCACCTCTGCCACGCATCCAGCGCTATAGTTACAGACGTGGGTACTAGAAATCAAAACTTAGTTCTTGTGCAGCAAGCACTTTACCTGATGAGCTACCTCCCCACACCCCTCGACTAGTTTTTTTTGAGACAGTTTCTCCCTATGTAGCTCAGACTGGTCTTGAACTTTCTTTCTTCCTCCTTCTTCTGACAGCAGGGATTATAGTCAAGACTGCCATACTCAGCCATAAACATGGTTTTGTAGATGAGACATTTTTCTTCTTGAAAAGTTTTAAAAATAAAGACAATTAGCAAAGTATATAATATACACCCACTTGCCCACATATAAAATGTTAACATTTTTCATTTTGCTTCAGATATGTAATATAGAATTATGTGTATCATAGTAACCAGACTGAATTCTAAAAGCAGTGTAGAACTTTATATGAAGTTAAAATAGTTTTTGTTCTTTCCAGTTTCATTCCTCCATCTTCATCTCCCTTCCCAATTTATAACCCATATACATGAACAGTCTAGCATTCTTCTGGGTAGCCTGTGTCAGCTTTGAACTCCTAATTCTTCTACCCCCACTTCCCCAGAGCTGGAATTATAGGAGTACACCAACACATTAAACTCTACTCTGGGTGTTTGGAGAGGAATGAATGAGAACAAAGTATAATAACACATGTATGAAAATGTCATGATGAGACCCATTACTTTGTAGACTACTGAATACTTAAAGTCAGTGTGGATTGGAGCAATATTTCATTGGTTTGAATCTTGGCTTTACTATTTAATGCTTTTGTGACCTTAGGTAAATTATTTACGCTACAGCCTTTAGTGGTCTTATCTCTAGCAAACAGGGATCTCATAGGGTTGTAAAAATCACATGAATACCCGGGTGTGGTGGCACACCTTTAATCCCAGCACTCCTGGAAGGCAGAGGCAGGCAGATCTCTGTGAGTTCAAGGCCAGCCTGGTCTATATAGTGAGTTCCAGGACAGCTGGAGCTACAGAGAGACCCTGTCTCAAAAAAACCAAAAAAAAAAAAAAAATCACTTGAATTTGTTTATGTAAATTTGAATAAAACTATGTCTACCATGTCTGGCACTTTTTTTCTTTTTTCCATGCACTGGTAAATTTAAGTAGTTATTTATATGGAATACACATTTTGAATAATTTTCATTTTATTCCATCTTTATTGATACTTTAGGTTTAGTTAATTTTTATTGCTGTGTAAGTTTCCATGGAATGAATATACTGCTGATTTGTCATTTCTTCCAGTGATGCGCATTTTCTCTGTTTTCATGTTTTGTCTGTATAAACATTGCCCCATTAACATCCCTCTATCTCTTAACACAATGCGTCAGAATATTTCCAGGTTATGCACCTGGTTGTGAAATTGCTGGGTCCTAGGACAAAAAAAGTTTTCCCTTTATAAGGTATTTATAGAATAATTAACAACCAATTTCTAAATCTCTATATCCTTTCCAAATGTCAGAATTTGTTTTTTACCAGTCTGATTATTGTAAAATAGCATTTCACTTTTGTTCTGTGTTTATTTCTCTTCACCTTTTGAGTATTTACATTTTTTGCTGTCTCTTCCGTGATTTGGATGTACCTCTCCTTTACATATTTTTCTTAGATTTATTTGTGTATATGTACATGTGAGTGGGGACTATGAACACCTATGCATGCATGAGAAGGCTAGAAGAGGGCATCAGATGTCTTCCTCTACACTCTCTCCCTATTCATCTGGGGCAGGATCTCTCCCTGTACCTGAAACTGGTGTTTTCTCCTCCAGTCCAGAAGCCAGCAAACCACAGTGATATTCTTGTCTCCACTTCCTTCAGATCTGAGGTTACAGGCATGAATAGGATGCCTGGCTTGTTATGTGAGAGCTGGGATCTGAACTCTGACCCTCATGATTGCCCAGCAAGGACCCTTAACTTGCTGAGCCATCTCTTTAGCCCCTCCTTTACATATTTTTTGAGCTTTTATTATTTATTTGGGAAATATTGTTTTGCTTATTTTAAAATGTTCTTCAGGATATTTACAAATATTAGAGAAGCTTGTTTTTATATTTTGTTTTGAAGTTTCTAAATCTCTTGGAACAATTACCAATGTGGATTCAGATTGCAGTGCCTATCTAACTGCTTACTTATCATCTTCACCTCAAACTCTGGTCCAAAATGAATTTATTTACATACTCAAATTTTGCTTTGATCTGTTATATTTCAAAGATACCTTGGACCACTATTGACTTTATCACCCAAGGATGAGGCTTTTAGGAATCATGTATCAATCCTTCCTGTCTTCAACTCTCTTCATATCTCTTCATTTACTGAAATCTGAATTTATCTGCTAAATCATTTTGTTTGGTTTGGTGGTGTTTTTTCTTTTTGTTTTGTTTTTGAGACAGGCTGTCCCTGAGGCCTCAGCTGGCCTGGAACTTGACCAGGCTGGCTTTGATCTCACAGAGATCCACCTCTGCCTCTGCCTCTGCCTCCATAGTACTGGGATTAAAGGCATGCACCACCACACCCAACTTTGTTTTGTTTTTGATACAGGGTCTCATATATCCCAGGCTGGCCTCCAACTCACTATGTAGCGTAGCCAAATCCTGACCAATGCCCAGGTTACTTGCTAAATACTTTTAAATTTATTTATTTATTTATTTATTATTTCTGTGTGTGTGTGTGTGTGTGTGTGTGTGTGTCAGAGTGCACATGCATGTGCCTACATGTGGAGGTCAGAGGACAATTTGCTCTAGTCATTTCTCTCCTTCCACCCTATAGTTCCAGATATCGAACTCGGGTCATCAGATTTGGTGGCAAGATGAGCCATCTCACTAGCCAATAAACCATTTTTGGGTCAGAAACTTTTGTAGAATCCTTAGTCCAACCTTTTCCTTATTAGGAACTGTTTCTTTACCTTCTTTCTGGTTTTCTTGTTTTCAGTTTTGTTTCTCTGAACTTCACATTTTCAGAATTGCCAGGATGGTATGTCTAAAACACCAATCTGAAAATTACTCCCGGACTCCATTGTCAAGTGGATGAAGCCAGAACTCCTTACCATGTCATCAAAATTCTCCATGATTTAGCCTCTGACTGGCTCTCTAATCTTAACTCCTGTAATTTCTGCTTTCCATTTCTTAACACTAGCCATACAGAACCACTTTTTGAAGATCCCTGAATATACATGTTATTTCTGGAATGCTGCACTGCTTCTGTGGTCCTTCTGCCTGGAATGCCTTTATTTCTCCCTTCCCTTTCTATTTTATCTAGCTAACTCATTTATATCTTTTAAGAATTAGTTAAGGCATTACTTCTCCAGAAAGCCTTTTTTAGATATATGCTTGTCTGTATTATTGAGTCCCTCCTGGAATAATCTACAATTATTGTGTTCTGTCTCAAGCACTCAGTAAGAATTTGTAGAGGGGCTGGCAAGATAGCTCAGTGGGTAAAGGCACTTGATGCCAAGCCCTGACAACTTGAGTTTGATCCCCAGGACCTTTGTGGTATAGGGAAAGAATTGACTCTCAGGTTGTCCTCTGTCCTACACATACATATACACACACACACACCTACCTGCATGCATGTATATATTGTGGCATGCAGGTGCACACACAGAAAGTAAATAATTGAAAAAAAGAATTTGTTAGGTCAGTTAGTATATTAGAGAAGCAGTATCAAGTGGTTGAGGATGTCTATGTGGGATTGAAAGCTGGTTTTTCTGTTCTCTACTTTTTCTTTCTATGTAAAGTGGGGGAAATGATGCATTTATAAAGTTGTGAGGTTTAAATTTGTTAATGCAAATAAAGTTAAAATAGGATTTCAGATATTTAGTGAGTAATCTATTCAAGCTATTATTAGCCTTAGAATATTTTAATTTATATGTCTGTTTCCCCCATTAGGTTTTGAATTAATGAGTGAAGGAATAAACCAAGGAAACCTGAATCTTAAAATGAAAGATCCATTTCTAGTTTTTCAGAATGTGGTGGCAAGTTGACTATCATCCCCTTTTCTAGCAACTGCAACATTTGGCATCTTGCCACACATTTGAAGTTGACATTAGTGGTAATTAGCATTTCTTAATTATACTACATAATTAGTTGCTTATTTAAAATTCAGCATACTTTTCTTAGTAGTACTGCTTGAACTCTAGGAATTTACTTTTAAGCTACACTTAATCTGTACTGCATTTAACCAGCCTTTTCCAATGTGTATTAAATACGACAGGATTGAACAAAGGGGTAGAATGAGAAAACAGTAAAACTTTTTACTTCTGAGCTAGACATGCTCAGTATTCCTTCACTGTTTTAAAATAAAATGATCAGAATACTGGATAATCCTAAACACTTTCTAAGGCAATGTAAGTCAGTAAAAATGATCAGTGTCTCTGCTTCCATTATGGGATAAATGATTAAGACTTGTTTACTTACAATAATTTTTGATTATTTCAGAATCCTTTCTTTTTGCCCCAAATTTAACATCTCTCATTTTGTTCTGAATACCAACTATATAATCTTGGCAAATTGATAGTACTGTTTGTTTTATTTTTTAATATTTTATTATTTTATGTGTGAGTATATGCCTGCATATATCTAAGTGCACCCATGTCATGCAGTGCCTGCAGAGGTCAGAAGAGGGAGCCGGATACCCTGGAACTGGAGTTACAGATGGTTGTTAACTGCCATGTGGATGCTAGGAATCGAACCCAGGTCTTCTGCAAGAGCAGCCAGTGCTCTTAACTGCTGAGCCCATTTGTTTTATTTTTATCTCTGAACTTACTGTTAAATTTGTAAGTTTTTCTAAGTCTCACTATTTTTTATTATGAAGTAAGTTTGTCTTATTTTGAACTTAGGAACAATACAAATTACTGGTATTCATTCTTCAGTGTCCATTTGAAAATTTACCAGAGAAACTAGATTTTTTTTTTTGTTGTTTAAAAAGTCTTAAATTTCTAAAGGAAAATCTAACAAACTAATATCAAATTAAAATGAAAGCCTAATATATCAATCTTGTTTTGGAAGCTAATACCATAAAATGATTGTGGTATTCAGAAATGCCTTTTTTAAAGGTCACTGTCTTAGCATTGAGTAACTTAAAGACCTTGAAGTGCCATATTTTTTTTAAAGAAATGGATGCAGATGAATGGAGAAAACTGGAATTATATTTTAGCTTGTTATATAGAACTGGGTAACATCAACAGAAAAGCTGTACCTCACCCTCTTTTCAGTCAAGATTGTAGTTAATGATACTATTTTTCAGTAAAAAATAATTTACTCAAGCCGGTGCAGTGACACATGCCTGTAAAATCCCAGCATTCTGGAGGCTGAGGCAAGATCTTGAGTTCTAGACCAGCCTGGACTAATAGTGAGACACTGTCTCAAAAAGAAAATTTGTTAGCATAGCGCTAAGGTATTCCCTATCCCTTAATCTGATTTTCTTTTTTTCTTAATTTAGAACTTCGTGATAGTATTTTGTTTTAATTTATTGTGTGTGTAGAGGGGGTGTTAGGGATTGAACCTGGGGCCATGGACTTGCTAGGTAAGTGCTGTACCATTGAGCTCCATCCCTAGCTTTGTTAGTAGTATTTTATTCATATTGATGTGTTGATAATTATACTGAAGTTGGATTTATAGGATGTTTGAATCTGCTGTGGTTGGTGAATATTTTAGGCTAAGGAATGATTGAAGATTCTAGTTCAATGGCTATTTTTTCTGATTAATATTTTGATATTCCTTAATGTGTGTGTGTGTGTGTGTGTGTGTGTGTGTGTGTGTGTGTATGTGTGTGTATGTGTTCGTTCTAGCTCTGGCTGGCCTGAAACTCCCTAGGCAGACCAGGCAGGCCTTGAATGTGGAATAACCTTCTTGTCTCTGCCTCCTCCAAATTTCTGGGATTACAGGAGCAAGAAGCTACCATGCCTGTTACTTTTTGGGAGGAGGAGTTGTTTAATCAAAATTATTTTGTTTGTAGGTAGTAGAAACAAAATTTTCAAACCCACTCACTTAAAAGTAAGATTTCACAGTACCTCGGGATAAAAGTACAACCAAACCTCCTAAATATATGAGATCAGGGGCTGGAAATGTCTTAGTAATAGGCCGTTGTTGTCTTACCACTCTGGGCCAGCGTGATTCCTCCACTTTTCCTGACTTGTTCACTTCATTTTTGTCTCTCTGCCTGTTGTCTTACACCACTGTGTGTGGCTAGACATGTCTTCTGACTCTTAAAGTTATATGTTGGTTCATGGTTCTGTGATCCCATTCTAAGCTCCTAGGAAGAAATCCAGTATGAGGAAAGTTCTCTATGTCTGGTCCAGTCAGCTATGACAAATGAAACCAAGGTCTCCTAGAACATGACTTCCAGTCCCAGTTTTATGGAAAAGGAATGGATACAGAACATATAGCTTCCTGAGGACAGGTGTGTATACTAAATGAACAGTCCAAAAGGTGGTAATTAGAGAAGAATACTCAATGATGTAAAGTTAAATTTTTACTGAAATTAAAAGAAACCTCACAGTGTCTTTACATAATAACAAAGAACTTAAACTCTTTCACCCCAATCCATAAGTGATTATTATGAAAGACAATGAAAATTTCTCCTCTTTTCAGGAAGAAAAAACAATGGAGATAGAGGTAATTTTTTAGCTTCTGTATATAGAATTTGGGATTTGAATCATTTTATGAATACATGTATATTAATATATGCTCTCCTTATTAACCTTATATTAAATTTTAAAAAGCATCTTTGAGTCAGAGTCTCACTATGTGGCTCAGAGTGGCTTTAGACTTGCTCTGTAGCCATGCTGGTTTCCAACTTATAATCCTCCTTAGTGCTACGACCATAGGTGCATCCCACTATATCTGGCCTTAATAACATTATTAAAAATTATGACATTCTTTTTTTTCCCAGGGCTGATTGAATATAGGGTAGGCAAGTGCTCCACCATTGAGCTATATCCTCGGTGTGACAGTCTTTATTTAACAAGGATTTACTGACTGCTTGCTTAATGCCAGGGACTGTGCTAAAACAGGTATTTACAGAGATGGAGATGCTACATTGTTTACTCTTGAGTTCATACTTTAGTTGAGAAGAGTAAATGTTCAAAGAAATCATTACAGTATTAATATGTTAATCATAGAGTACGTGTTGGATATTCTTGAAGCCTAAGAATAGAAAATGTCAGTCTTTTATGGGCAAAGCTTCATAGAGCAGTTCTTAAATATTTCACTGGAGTTGACCATTTGAATAGGAGTGTTCTGTGAGAGTAACTAAATTTGAATTTGCAAAGGTAGCCTGGGGTTTGTACAGTGTGGCTCAGATAAATTCCTTTAAAAAAAAATTAGACAGGACCTGTAGCCCATCTGAGCTGAAACTCACTATGTAGACCAGACTGGTCTCTATCTCACAGAGATCTGCCTGCCTCTGTTCTTGAGTGCTGAGATTAAAGGTGTGCACAACCACATCCAGCTAAAGTGAATATTTAAACCATTCAACTTAATGAAACTGAAATTAAAACTTGTTTTCAAACCTGTCCTTCACGTTAGTAGTTATTGCCTTTTTTAAAAGGCAGCTCTAAATTTGTTATTTAGCTTTGATGCCACTTTTGAGGATGGGATGTTATTGATAACTTCCCCTTAGACTCTTTTGTCAATTTTTTCTAATAGTAGTTCCTTTTATGATAATTTTTCCTGTTCACACATATACCTTCACAGAGTGAGAAATGGACTGAAAATGGGAGCACTTATAAAGAGGGGACTGTAAAAATGACTTAGAGGTTAAGAGCATGTACTGCCCTTCCAGAGGACCAGAGTACAGCTCCCAGCATGCATATTAAGTGGGTCACAACTGCCTGCAACTCTAGCTTTGAGGGATATGATGCTCTCTTCTGGCCTCTATGGGCACTGCATTCATGTGTACAAACCCCCACACAGACACACATACACACAGACACACACACACTATTTTAAAAAGAAATAAGGGACTGGAGAGATGGCTCAGTGGTAAAGACCACTTGCTGTTTTGCCAGAGGACCCAGGTTTGATTCCCAGCACCCACATGGCAGCTAACAACCATCCATAACTCCAGTTCCAAGGGATCCAATACACTCTTCTGGCCCCTGCAGAGCATTGCATGCATGTAATGTCTTTATATACATACAGGCAAAACACTCATACACATAAAATAAAAATAATAAAATATTTTTTAAGGCTGGACATGGTGGCACATGCCTTTAATCCCAGCACTCAGGAAGCAGAGGCAGGTGGGTCTCTGTGAGTTCCAAGACAGCTGGGGCTACAGCGAGACCCTGTCTCAAAAAATAGTTCATATAAGAATAAGAATAAATGGTGAGGAAGGGATAAAGTAAGTGGCAAAAATGATATAATGTATAGTAAATGTAATTTTAGAAGGTAACTGTATAATGATGGAGGTCAATACTGAATTTTTTATTGATATTTTTATGTATTTATTAGGGAAAAATCATCACTGAATGACTGTAGTATGGTCAATTCAGCCCAAAACACATACTTTCTCTCAGAGTTTGTTGTAAGTTTTTCAATATTATATGCATTTCTTCAAACATGC